GCTCTACCACTGAGCCACCTTCCCAGCCCCCTAGATATTTTTTCTTTTAACCTAAACGAAATAGCCATTCCTCAAACAGAACCAGTAGTTCCATACCTCTGTATTTATGTCATTGATCTGAATGCTCCCCCACTTAACCTAAGTCTAACTTCTTCAAAGCACAGTTCAAACATGCTTTGTTTCTACTCAATAATCTCATTAATTGAAAAAGTTATTCTACTTTATTCTTGCTATACTCTTGACACACAGTGTTTTATCTTCATTAAGAGATTAAAGGTTATAATGTACCACTGGTGGCTTTCAAATCATCTCACCATCTGTGGATGTGGAAGAATTATGGGAAGAAATGACAGCAGATTCTAACCATGGGTAACAACCTAAATAGCTTCCTTTGATGATGTTAATTTTATTTTCCCTACTCTGTCAAATCAGCCAACTATTGTTAAATAATGTGTGCCCTTGATTAAATCATGTGAATTTTATTTATGCTCTTACAAATAAAATATAGCTGGTTTATTTCAAATGGCTTTTCTAAATACAAAACAAAGGAAAAGAAAGGATGCTCTAAAATTCCGATCTTATTATTAAGCATAAACTAGCATTTATTAATCTAATTAAAATTTTGCCACATACAAAATAGACTACCATAAATTTACACATTCATAAAACAAGTAAGTAGTTTTGGTGAGAACATTAAGATGAGAGAAATCCAGAGTATGATAAAGTATTTACCTCAGTCATCAAGATCAACCCTCGGTTAAATATAACAAGAAGCCTGTCTTCATCAGATTCTAATAGTATTCTGAAGGCACTAGAAGAATACATAAAGTCCAGTGTGATAATTCTGAATCATAACAACACTTAGGTTGTGAAAAAAATTAAGAAGTAAAACTGTCATTTACTCTCCACTTTCCAACCAACATCAAAGAGACTGCTACATTTGTTTCTTAGTAATACAGGGCAAGATGAGCATCCCAAATCTGAGTCTAAATTTATATAAAAACCCAAATATTAGAACATTACAAACTTCCAGATTACCAATACCCAAATGATAAAATGCAGGCAAATATTCCAAAATATAAATTTAAAAATCTACAATCTGAAACACTACTGCTTCCCAGCACTTTGTATAAAGATTACTCAAACCTGTAAAGGAAATAATGTTAAATAGAAAATTTTGGTGGGCAAAGTAGTTCAAGTGGTAGAATACTTGAACCCCAGTACCAAAAAACAACAACGAAGTAAAAAAGGATAATTTCCAAATCTTCTAAGTAACTTAGCAAAACATTATGCCTATTAAGAGTTAATCAATTCTTAATTATTCACAGTGGCAGAAAAAGTGAAAATATTTTAAAAGTTTTAATACAAAAAATATTGATTTTTAGCTAGGTGCCAGTTGTTCACGCCTGTACTCAGGGGGATGAGATAAGAGGATTACAATGCAAAGCCAGCCCTGGAAGTCTGTGAGACTTATCTCCAACTAACCACTAGAAAATCAGAAGTGGTGCTGTGGTTCAAATGGCAGAGAACTAAGCCTTGAACTGAAGAGCTCAGGGCCAGCACCTAGGCCCAGAGTTCAAGTTCTACAACCGACAAAATAAATAAATAAATAAAATTAAAAACAGGATTTTAAACAATAGGTCTATAGTCTAATTAAGTGCTAAATAAATAATATACTGAATTATCAAAGCATGCATTAACTAACATCAAGGGAAAAATGACTATGAAAATAAGTTATTATTTATTACCACAGTATTTGTATTATTGTTAAGAAACCTTAATTCATTAAGTACCTAGAAGTATTATAAAACCCTTCTACATCTGTGGGAATCTTCCTCTTGTTTTTCAAAAAATAATTGAGAAAACTGGGGCTAAGTAAAGCCTGAGAAAATAATGTATTGAAAATTAATGCCAATAATTCCTTAGAGTCTTGGCAAAGGTATTTTTCTCAGACTGTGGAATAATGAACATTAAAATACAAAAGCTTCTAAAGCAAATAATCTGAAAAAATCTTAGGATAGTACAGTGAAGTCTTTAGATCTCAACTACCTGAGTAGCTAGGATTACAGATATGAGCCACCAGCACCGTCTGTTATTTATTTTTTTAACCAATTAGCTTAGCTTTATTTCTACAAAGGGTATTGTTACCTATAGCAGCTTCATTTATTTAATTTTATTCAGACACTGAGTTACTTCGTAGCCCTGAACAACTAAGTATATGTATATTACCTCATTTTATTTATTTATGTATTATTTATTTATGTTTGGGCGCTGTCCCTGTGCTCTTCAGCTCAAGGCGAGCTCTACCGCTTGAACCACAGCACCACTTCCCGTTTTCGGGGGGGGGGCGGGATGGGTATGGGTGGTGGTGGTTTATTGGAGATCAGAGTCTCACGAACTTTCCTGCCCAGGCTGGCTTTGAACCTCGATCCTCAGATGTCAGCCTCCTGAGTAGCTAGGATTACAGGCGTGAGCCACCGGTGCCCGGCTTTATTTAGTTATTTTATTGTGAGAATACCATACAGAGGGGTTACAATTACATGGGCAAGATAACGAGTACATTTCTTATCAAGCATTATTGCTTCCTCTTTGTTTCCCCTTTACCTCATTTTTTAAAATGATTAATGCCCTAAAGTGTTTTGTATATCTACTAAGGGTCTTTTTTTCCCCCTTAAAAAAATTATCTTTAAGTAGTTGTACAAAGAAGTTCCCATTCTACAAAACAGTATATGAGTACAAAGTGTCTGACAACAGTGTCACCATCTCTCTTAACCTATCCCTTGTCTCACTCTTTTCTTTAATTGAGATTAGGTGATTACATAAATTTCACAGTATTACGGAATAGTGATAGAGTCACAAATACATTTTAACTTTCACAAGGCAAATTGTCATCATCATGGTCTATACAGTTTGTGAATTCTATGAGCTTTGATAATACAAGTTATTTTTTCCTATTACCTCATGTTTAGCTACCCATACAAACCTAGGTAAACAGAATGAAAAAACAAATGGTATTAGACTAATCCAAAGATGGAAAAAGCTGTTTCTGAAAGCGTCTAGAACTGACCTACTGAGTGTAAATTAGGATGAACTGCCACAGGACAACTAAAACTTTAGGAGACTATAATCCTAAAATTTGGATTCTTCCAATCTTCGGAAAGCAGGGTGCTGTGATCCCTAAGATTCTAAAAAATACACAAATCTTTAGAAGAAATAGAAAATTTCAGTGCCTCAAATTCTTCCAACATAACCTAAGTACCTAATTTTTCACCAATAGTCTTAAAGAATTAGCTTTTGAGGGGGCTGGGAAGGTGGCTCAGTGGTAGAGCGCTTGCCTTGCATGCCTGAGGCCCTGGGTTCGATTCCTCAGCACCACATAAGCAAAAAGAAGAAAAAAAGCTGGAAGTGGCGCTTTGGCTCAATAGGTAGAGTGCTAGCCTTGAGCTGAAGAGCTGAGGGACAGTGCCCAGGCCCAGAGTTCAGGCCCCACGACCAGACCTCCCCCCCCCCAAAAAAAAAGAATTAGCTTTTGAGTATAAACAATATAATTTGTCTTTTACTGTCAAAAGGTTAAGTCTTCATTCATCCCCTTACCTAGTAAAACAAACCAAAACTAACAAAAGAACACCACAAAACATTTTTTTACCTTATTAAAGTAGTCCAGCAGGAACGGCCATCTAAACAACGTAAGTAACAACTTATGGTTGTTTTCTTAAACTGTTTAATATCTTCTAATTCTTCTTCTCTCAGGTCAGGCCTCTGAGCTATAAATAGCTGCATCAAATTAAATAATTCTTCTACTGCCTAAAAAAAACAGCAAATAAGAAACATAATGATCTTTTAAACCTGCATCACTTTAGAAGGTATGTTTCTCATTTCTAAATGGTCTATATGTTCATTAGCTAACTCCAAAAAAAACACACAATACATACTACTAAAAAACTGGTTCAGGAATGGTTATTAAAAAATTAGCAATAAATTCTATTTCAAAAATTGAGTATGTTATATACTAAAAGAAATCAATAAATTTTAAACATACTAGTTCAAAAAGATTAAAACCTACAGATAAATAATATATATAAAACTCACCAAAGAACTATATTGCATGACAGAAAATGGGGCTTAGTGGTAGAGTGCTTGCCTAGCATGCATGAAGCCCTGGGTTCATTTCCTCAGTACCACATAAACAGAAAAGGCTGGAAGTGGCACTGTGGCTCAAGTGGTAGAGTGCTATGAGCAAAAGCGGCTCAGGAACAGTGCCCAGGCCCAGAATTTGAGCCCCAGATTGGAAACAAAAAAACAAAACACAAAAACAAAAACAAAATTATTTTGTAACTCAGAGGCAAGCTACACTTCTTATCAATACTGGGGATTGAATTTAGAGCCAAGAACTCTACCACCACACTTTCTGTTCTTTTTGCTTTTTACTTTGTTTTCCGTCTAGACAGGGTCGTCTGCTAACTTTGCCCAGACTGGTTGATATCATGGTCCTCCTATTTCTTCCTCTAAGTACCTGGGATTATAGGCATGAACCATATCCACCCCCATTTCTTTAAACAGAAGAAAGCATTACTTTGCAACAATAAATTGTTTACTTAAATTATACTGGAGATAATCAGAGATAATCCTGTGTGGCAATATTTGGAATAATCTTTGTAGACTGAGGGTTAATTCAGGTATGTGATGGATAAAATGTGGGAATACTTTAGTAAAGTTACTAAGGTTTTAAAATTTTTCTTTTGTGCATGTTACGTAAGGGTTATGCTTTTAATGTCAATGAAATTAAATCCCCGCTTTCTACTTTTCATGGCAAAATTCACTTAATTACTGTTTTTGGGACTATCTCCAAAGGTAAGTTGCACAATATTTCATTTGTCAATGGCAAGAAAAATCATAGAGATGACATGTTCTACCTATACTAGTACTTGTCAAAGACAAACTTAACCTTGGATATAATACTTAGTTGTGAAATTAAATATTTACATGAACTATACTAGACTAGATCAATGGAAACATAACAAATTATGCTCTAACTCCTTCAAAAGAAAGTTAGACCTATTCTCCCCCCGCCCTGTATTTTTATAACCATGAATTCAATTTCTTGGGTTTTTTTTTGGTTAGTCCTTGGATTTGAACTCAGGGCCTAGGCCACTGTCCCTGATCTCTTTTGTTCAAGGCTCACTGCACCCGGCATTCAATTTCTTCTTTTTTTTTTTTTTTTGGTCCGGTCATGGGGCCTGAACTCTGGGCCTGGTGCTGTCCCTCAGCTCTTCAGCTCAAGGATAGAGTTCTACCACTTGAGCCGTAGCGCCACTTTTGGTTTTCTAGTGGTTAACTGGAGATAAGTCTCATGGATGTTCCTGCCCAAGGTTGGCTTTGAACCCTGACCCTCAGATCTCAGCCTCTTAGTAGCTAGAATTACAGGCATGAGCCACCAGCACCCAGCTGTATGTATTACTATTCTTTTTTTGGGGGGGTGTTGGGGGGTGGGCCTGAACTCTGGGTCTGGGCACTGTCCCTCAGCTCTTCAGCTTATAGCGAATGCTCAACCACTTGAGCCACAGTGCCACTTTTGGCTATTTCTGCTTATGTGGTGCTGAGGAATTGAACCCAGGGCCTCATGCATGCAAGGCAAGCACTCTACCACAGAGCCACTTTCACAGCCCCCACCCTCCAATCTCTTACTTAATGTTCTATCTTCCTTCCTCCCTTCCTCCAGTCTTCCTTGCCCCCCCACTTTCTTGTCCTTTCTTTTTAGGCATTCTAATTTCCTCATTTGGAAATTAAGTTTTTATTGTGGGCAAGGAAATCTTTGCAACGTAAGTAAGAAGGAACAGTGAAAATAATATCCAGAAATAGTAGACTCACATAAAGGGAAAATTTAATATGAAACCAACAAATCAAGCTTAAAAAGGACTCAGATTTAAACTATGCATCCTTGTAAATTAATGGATCTCTTAACCATTATAATTCACTCTCATGTAAGTTTCAGAAAAAACAACTAGATTAAGGTAAAATATTGTGCAGTCTAGAATAGTATGCAGATCTTGATAACCAATTATCTAATTCTTAAATAGTGTTTACATGCCTAATGCTGCCTTTTTCAGTAGGCACCTATATTTTAAAGCCCCAAGAGAGATAAAATTTTATCTTTATGAGAAAATTAAGCCACACACTTGTCAAATTTTATAACAATATATACCAACCTCACCTTATTCACAGACTTATTACACTGAGTTTTGACCAATGGTGGTAAAAGAGAAAAGTGAATTAAAACAAAAAAGAAATTTCAAAAACAAAAAACTAAAATTCCTACAACTCTGTTGTCTCATGTTATCATCTGTCATATTTATATGTGATCTAACTGTTTCCTTGCCCTTAATTTTGTGAAAACATGCCTCCCAAAAAGCATATGGTGTCACAAAAAACAATGTGCTTTACTGACATAAGGTAATAATTTTGGATTTGTTCAAAAGTGGCATGTGTATACTGAAAGGTAGATGACATTATAGGAAAAATGAACTAAATATCAGTACTGAACTCTTTTGTGCCAGTCATGAGGCTTGAACTCAGGGACTGGGCGCCGTCCCTGTCCTTTTTTCACTCAAGGCTAGCACTCTATCATTTGAGCCACAGCTACTGTCAACTCTTTAATGTTAATGGTTAACTGGAGATTAGAATCTCACAGACTTGTTCTGCCCATGCTGGCTCTGAACTGGGATCCTCAGATCTTGGCCTCTTGAATACCTAGGATTACAGGTGCGAGCCACAAGCGTCCAGTGGTACAGAACTCTTATATATGTTTAGAACATTTGTGTTTTTTCTCAGTGAGAATCTCTTTGAAACCATATACACAAAGATGCCAAGGGTAAAATTATATGTGGATGTTTGAGAATGCACATTTATATTAAATCCTGAAGAAAGGATGATGGTCTGGGGTATATTTCAGTAGTAAAGTCTTTGATTAGTATATGCAAAGCCATGGGTTTGATCCCTAGCACTGAAAAACAAAACAAAAGAAAAAAATCACCAAGAAAGAATGCTTAAAGTTAATTACTTTTAAGTTTTTAAGAATACAGATAAGAGTGTCATTTTTACTCACTCCAGGGTATTGGCTGGCATGTGGTGTAAGATTCTTAAAGGCCCACTGGATGTTCTGGTGAGAAGCCAGCTGTCGTGTGAATGCAGGAGATTGCTCACAGCAGAGCCTCAGAATGCCGTAGTAGGCAGGCAGCATCCCACGGTTAAAAAGCACCACATCCTGATCATCATGGTCAGCAAGGATGTAATTGAAGGCAATGTTCTTGGTTACCACTGGGTTTTGAACAATAAGGCGGATATTCTCTGGACAGTCAGCACACACATTGTACCAAAATGAAAGCAAAGCCTGTTTATTGTGATTTGTAGCTATTGCTGGCTCAGAAAGTTTAGGCTGGAAAAGGTTCCACAAATCCATGAAATATGTGGAAAACATCAGCTTCTCAGTTTTGGAAATTAAACAGTAAGTCATAAAGCTAAAATAGGGCACTAACTTTGTAGTGCCATGAACAGCAGCATCAACATAAAGTTTGGCTCTTGAGAGCAAACCAAGGAGTACGTTGTAGACCTGATGTAGGACTACTGTTGTGTCTGGACTGAGTGGAAGGTCACGGGTTGGGATGTGCAAAGACCTTGTTGACCGGAACATCTGGCGGAATGAATTGCTTGGTATAAGGGACACCAGAAGATAAGCTGCAGCTATAAAATGTAAAACAACACTGTCAGATTCTTATAAGATATAGACTGAAGAGCAGTCATTAATCACAAATTCACTCAGCCCTTTAATAATGAAAATGAAGAAAAATTAAGAGACATGACATCTCTTTAAATGTCTGCTTTAACTTGGCTCCACAGAAAGACTCCTAAGAGGTGATAGAAACACACCTTCCATTCTGCTATTATATTTTAAATAGCAACAACAATCACATTAGCAGAACTAGTTTTCAAACTCTTGTTTAGCCTTCTCCCATGATATAGTCTTATTTAATAAAGAGAACTCAGCATTTAGAGGAAAGACCTACCCAAGGTGCCTAAAATGGTCAAACCAGTTAACTTATTTTATGGTCTCAATTTTCTTGTTACTTAAAAAAAAATAGTGGTAAATTACTTTGAAATGATATACATAGTGGTAAATTACTTTGAAATAATATACAGATGTTTTAAAATTAGATATAAAGTATTTTTTTTCTTTTCCTTTCTGAAATAGTCTTGAATTTATTCCTGCCTCTGCATTCAAAGTGCTGGGATTACAGGGAAGCATCATCATACATAAAGAGCAAATCTTTATGTTTGAAGGCTAACCTGGAACATAATGAATTTCTCATTCAACACATCTAAAAACTGTCATTAAGCCTATGTTATAAATGTGAGAGGTTAATGAGTTTCTATTTAAGTCCACTTATCTGAGCACAACATGGAAGTAGGCACTATAAATATCTCACTCAACTTTCACAATCATACCAGAGATAGGTGATGTTACAGTAGAAAAATCTGAATCTCAGGTAACCAGTTAAAAGTCATACAGGTAAGAGAGGTAAAGGCTAGATTAGACCTTAAAAAAACAACGATGAAGGCAATAATAATAGGAAAAAATAGTAACTATTAAAAATAAGAAATTGCTAATATTTCAGAACATATATTTTGACATAACTTTATATGGTAAGACACTGCTTTTATTACCTTATTTTTATTCAAACAATGGTAAAACCACCTCAGATTACACAGGGACATGATAAAAGTAGGATTCAAACCCAAGCTCAACTAACATTTGCAACTAAACCCTTTTAAAAGATTACAACAACAGGGGATGTATACACTTGTTGATTTTTTGATGGGGAGACAGCAGTACTGGAGTTCAATCTCAGGGTCTTTGCTAGGTACTACCTGAGACACACCCATTGTCCTAGATATGCTCTTAATTTGGTAATTTCTACTACATTATCACAGCAGATATTGAAATGATGCTTTGTGCATAATACCCCATTTTCAAAATAGTTCTTTATCTATAAGCTATTATAGTTAAACTTTTTAGACTCATTTTGGTATGTGTTCAGGTTTTGCATAAACCTGCAATTGAACAAAGTGATTTGTGATTTCAAAAGGCACTAGGTTTAAATTTTACTTTTACATCAACATTTCATTGGGGTTATCAAGTTCAAGTCCCAGTCTTGGACTAACAAAAAGAGAAAAACATTTTATTAAGAAAAAATTTGGTAGGGCCTAGGTTTAATTTGCAGCTCCCTCCCCCATCAAATAAAACACAATAAAGGAAGAAATGAAACCTCTACTGAACCTGTGGGCCTATCCACTAATTTCTGTAATTAGCATTCTGCTTTGCTATGTACTAAACAAAACTATCTTGTCATTTCTAGACAAGTTGTTTGCTTTTAAATTTTTGCTAGAAAGGAAAAAAACATATGTTTACCTTGGAAAACAAAGCTCATTTGGAAGAGTAGGCTATCTGATTACAAACTGCCTTTTCTTTTTTTTTGCCGGTCATGGGGCCTGAACTCTGGGCCTGGGCGCTGTCCCTCAGCTCTTCAGCTCAAGGCTAGCGCTCTACCACTGGAACCACAGCGCCACTTCCGGCTTTTTCTGCTTATGTGGTGCTAAGGAATCGAACCCAGGGCCTCATGCTTGCAAGGCATGCACTCTACTGCTGAGCCACCTTCCTAGCCCCCTTTTTTTTTTTCTTTTTTTGTACTGGGGATCGAACCCAGGATGTTGCACTTGCTAGTGGCAAAGCGCTTGCCACTGAGCTACATCGCAGCCCCAAACTGCCTTTCTATAATGTAAGATGCCCTAGGTCTTGTTTCATACTGTGCAACTTAGAACACATCTACTTCCATTGATACCTGGCAAGTATTTAAATACTTTAAGACACCTAGTGATTCCATTTTGATACCTTTCTCAAAACAGGCTTTTATTTTTATTTTTTTGTGCCAGTCCTAGGGCTTGAACGCAGGGCCTGGGCACTGTCCCTGAGCTCTTTGCTCAAGACTGGTGTTCTACCACTTGAGCCTCAGCTCCACTTTCGGCTTTTTGCTAGTTAAACGCAGAATAAAGTCTTAAGCTGCAATGCTCAGATCTTAGCCTTGAGTAGCTAAGACTGTATGAGCCACTGGCACCCAGCAAACAGTCATTTCTTACAAGCCAGACTATCAGTAGCTTTTCTTTAATATATGTTAATTTATTCTATGATATACTTATTCTATACCAAATGCACTTACTACAGAATCTTTATTACCACAATTTACAAATAAGTACCTAACAATCTGTCTTGTTTTTTTTTTTTTGAGTCCGGTCGTGGTGCCTGAACTCTGGGCCTGGGCGCTGTCCCTCAGCTCTTCAGCTCAAGGCTAGCGCTCTACCACTTGAGCCACAGCACCACTTCCGGCTTTTTTTTTCTTTTTGCTTATGTGGTGCTGAGGAATCGAACCCAGGGCCTCAGGCATGCAAGGCAAGCGCTCTACCACTGAGCCACCTTCCCAGCCCCCAATCTGTCTTGTTTTAAGGGACACCATCTCACTATTTTGCCCCAGGTGACTTTGAACTCGAGCTTAAATGATCCTTCCTGGCTCATTCTCAAAGGAGATGCACACTAGCATACCTGGCATGTGAGTCTTTAAAAAAATTAGCCCATGGGGCTGGGAATGTGGCTTAGTGGTAGATTGCTTGCCTAGCATGCATTAAGCACATAAACAGAAAAAGCTGGAAGTGGTGCTATGGCTCAAGTGATAGAATGCTAGCTAGCCTTGAGCAAAAGAAAGCTCAAGGACAGTGCCTAGGCCCTGAGGTCAAGCCCCAGGACTGGCAAAAAATGAAATAAATACACACACTCACATAGAAAAAAAAATATATATATATACACACATATATGTATATATTAGCCCTTTTAAAACTTTATATTACCTTAGGAAACTGCTCAGGAGCCAAGTTTGCTACATACTATTAACTACCATCCATAAAGGTACACTATCAATTATATATGAGCTGGCCTGGACAACAATCTTCCTATCTGTTCATATCTTGGTGATTAAAAAGCACACCTTTGTATCCAGCCATGGGATGGGATGAAACCTCATGAACGCATAGGCTGGACTCCAATGGTGAATCCCCCTATCTCTACCTCCCATGCAGATAGGATTATAGGCTTAAACCAGTGGGTCCAACTCAACATAGGTTCTTTTTCATTATTTTGTGCTCAGGAGTCAAGACACAAATGCCAACCAACAGACATTTTAGGATATCTATCTACCTACCTACATATCTATCTACCTACCTACCTATCTATCTATCTTCCATTATTGTAGGATTATTAAACTGATAAAAAAAAGCAGTAGCAAACTGCCTATGTATGTCTAGCATGCAATCCACTGCAACATGTATCTCTCAAATATTTTATTTCAGAATATAACCATTCTGAATTGTCTGATAATGCCCATAAATCCCTCACCCAGTTGCCTCCAGTTTTTTTTTGGGGGGGTCCAGTCATGGGGCCTGAACTCTGGGCCTGGGCTCTATCCCTCAGCTCTTCAGCTCAAGGCTAGCACTCTACCACTTGAGCCACAGCGCCACTTCCGGCTTTTTTCTTTTTGTTTATGTGGTGCTGAGGAATCGAACCCAGGGCCTCAGGCATACAAGGCAAGCGCTCTACCACTGAGCCACCTTCCCAGTCCTCCCTCCAATTTTTTTTGTGCCAGCACTAGGACTTGAACTCAAGGCCTTTCACTCTCAATCAGCTTCCCTGCTCTCAACTGTCACTCTCTATTTTAATCATGCCAGTCAGTCTAGCATTTTGTTGGTTAATTAGAGATGCAGTCTTATGGATTTTTCTGTCCAGGCTGGCTTTAAATAACTGTCTTTCAAGTCTTAGCATCCCAAATAGCTAAGATTATAGGCACCTGGACAGTTTCTTCATTTTAACATTTACTTTTACTATACAGTATATGTTAGAATAAAGGAACAATACTGGCACCTTAATACTAACTGAAGTCTAAACTTTAGTTTTCAATAGGTGAAGCACCCTTTGTATTATATACCCATGTCAAGAGTACATGCTAATTACTTGTCTGACAGTGATATTAACCTTAACCACTTGCCTGAATTAGTTGTCAAATTTCTTTTCTTTTTTTTTTTGGGGGGGGGTCCAGTCATGGGCCTCACCTCTGGGCCTGGGCACTGTCCCTCAGCGATTCAGCTCAAGGCTAGCACTCTACCAACTTGAGCCATAGCGCCACTTCCGGCTTTTTTTTTTTCTGGTTATGTGGTGCTGAGGAATCGAACAGGGCCTCATGCATGCAAGGCAAGTGCTCTACCACTGAGGCACCTTCCCAGCCCCCAAATTTCTTTTCTTTTTTCTTTTGTCAGTCATGGGGCTTGAACTTTGGGCCTGGGCCCTGTCCCTCAGCTCTTCACCTCAAGGTAAGCACTCTACCACTTGAGCCATAGCACCACTTCCAGTTTTTCTGGTGGTTCACTGAAGATAAGAGTCTCACAGACTTTCTTGCCCTGTCTGGCTTTGAACTGAGATCCTCAGATCTCAGCCTCCTGAGTAGCTAGGATAGTTGTCAAATTTCTTAATTGTCAAGTTACTTCCCACATCTTCAGGCTCTACTCTTTGAAGTTAGCTTAGATTCATAGACTAAGCAGTTATGCTCAGAGCCTTTGGGATGTATTTATTGGGAATTTTGTCATGTGGATTTCTATCAGTGTGGGCTTATAGATGTTTATTTTGTATTTCTGATTATAATATCACATTTGTTTCTCAAATTGTCCCAGGTTTAGCAACTAGAAGCTTTCAAGTTAATTCTATATGTCCCTTTGAAATATCCCTATCAGATCATTCTGATTTTTAAATATATTTCTTCCCTTTATGGTTCTAACTCATCTTATACATTTACTGCCTTAGCTCTAAAATCAGTCCTTTCTCTATGGAACTGTAAATTTTTTTAAAATTGGAGAATGGTGTTTAGAAACATCTGGGTACTTGTGTTTGTCACTGATTTTAGTCAGACAGCTAGGAAACAAATTCATTTTTGTAAAATTGTCAAAAGCCGCATTATACTTAGAGTCTCATATTTGCTAGGCAGATACTCTTACATTTACCTATACCTGTCTTACTCTTTTGCCAGTTTTTATATTTTTATTTTTGTGCCCATCCTGGGGCTTGAACTCAAGGGCCTAGGCACTGTTTCTAAGCTTTGTTTGCTCAAGGCTAGCATTCTAACAATCGAGCTACAGCTCCATTCCTGCCTTTTTTTGTAGTTTAGTGGAGATAAAGAATCTTACTGAGGGCTAGGAAGGTGAATCAGTGGTAGAGTGCTTGCCTTGCATGCGTGAGGCCCTGGGTTCGATCAGCACCACATAAGCAAAAAGAAAAAAGTCGGAAGTGGCGCTATGGCTCAAGTGGTAGAGCGCTAACTAGCCTTGAGCTGAAGAGCTGAGGGATAGTGCCCAGGCTCGAGTTCAGGCCCCACGACCGGACCAAAAAAAAAAAAAAAAGAATCTTACTGACTCTTTCTGCTCAGGCTGGCTTCAAAACATGATTCTCAGAGATCTTAGCCTCCTGAGTAGCTCGGATTACAGGCATGAGCCACCAGCACTGGGCTGCCAATTATTTTTAAGGTCTTGTTTCCTTCCTGAGTTTGTGCCTGGTTATAATTCACTTATGTTAGGTTTCCTGTCACAGGTCACACCAAATGCGTCGAGTTCTCCACTTAGAAGTGCGTCTTGTAAACTTTTTCCCAGACTGGCCTGAGGTGATGCTCCTCCTAATCTTAGCCTCCCAAGTAGCTAGAATTACACATGTGAGAATTAATTACTTTGGTTTTAATTTTCTTTGAACTCTCAAAAGTAATATTTTACATTTTATGCTTATTTACAATAAATTTCTTGCTCTGTAAAAAAAATCTACTATTGGTATTTGTCCATCTGTCTCCCAAGGTCTGTTTATTCTCTACTTATTTGTACATGAGATTGGTTTTATCTAATTCTTCTAATTCCAGTCAGTATTTTCTGCGTTAATTACTACTTTCCGCCTCCTGTCCTGGGCTTGACCTCAGGGGTTAGGCACTGTCCCTAAGCATTTGTGCTCAAGGCTAACACTCTACCATCCTCTGATCTCAGCCTACTGAGTAGGATTACATGTATGTGCCACTAGTACCCAGCAATTACATGTTATTTTTTCCCCCTTGGGTGTTGGTCCTGGGGCTTGACAGAGTCTGTGCACAGTTCCTTTCCCTGAGCTTTTTTGCTCATGGCTAGTGTTCTCCATTTCTGGCTTCTTGGGTTAACAGGATAAGTCTCATGGACTTTTCTGTCTTGGCTGGCTTTCAACTGTGATCCTTAGATCACAGCCTTGTGAACAGCTAGGAATATGGGCATAAGCCACCAATGCTGGCAAGGTTAGAAAGAAAGGTTGGGTAGAGGGTGGGAGGGAGGGAAGAAGGAAGGGAAGGGAAGAGAGAAAAAAAAAGGGAAAGAGGAGACAGAAAGAGAAAGGAGAAAGAAAAGGGAAAACAAAGGGAATAGTTAAGGGGTAAAGGAAAGAGAAAAAGGGAAGGGGGAAAAGAAGGAGGAAAGGATAGTAAGAACAGACCAACAACAGCTGGGCAATGGTGGTGACTCAGCCTGTAATTTTAGCTACTTAGAAGGCTAATTGGAAGGATTGAGGTTCAAGGCCAGCCTGGGCAGAAAAATTTACAAGACACCTTTTCTCAAGGAAAAGCTGGATGGTGGTTGCAACATGCTTCTTATCCTAGCTATACAAAAAATCAAACATAGGCAGATTAAGCCTGGGTACATGCCTGAGTAGAAAGTGTTAACTGTATTGTAAAAATAAGCAAGAATCATGGCTGGCAACATAGCTCAACAATAGGAGTCTCTCTCTAGAAAACATGAGAATCTGAGTTCAAAGCCTCAGTATCACCAAAACAAACTACTAAATATTTATAAAACCCTGTCATAAGTTTCCAAATATTAGCAAACTTCGGTCTTTAAGACAAACTCTAAGAGCTTTGCATTATACAATGGCCATAACTTCATTTAAAAGGCAGAAAACAGAAAATGCTAAAAATTAGAACATCAATAAACCATTTGCTAAATTCTGAACATTTGACTTACAAGTCCTGACTCTAGGATAATTGTGAGCCAAAAGAAAACGCTCAACCCAGTTTTCCATATTCTGTAGGACCCAGCTGTGTGCCAGTTTATTTCGGGGTGTCTGTACTGCCAACCAATCCAGACACTGAGAGGGATTGTATTCAATCACCTATAAATACAATGACAAGAACATAATACAATATAAGGTCAACTAATGAACAATTACTTTACATTCTTTTCTACATTTCACTAAATAGTTAAAGCTAAAATAATTTTTAGAAAACTAGGATTGTTAAGTTTTAGCTCTAAATTTAAACTACTTTTATTAACAAGGCAAGCTCAGAAAAATTGATTTCATCACAAAATTTAAAACAAAGACTTTAACACACAGAACTCAGTGGCTTTTATGCATTGTTTAGAATTTAAAATATATTTATCTAGCTGTATATTTCAGTAGAACACTTGTTAGCACATGCAAGACCCTGGGTCTGACCTCCAACACTACATACACAAAAAAGTACTTTGCATTTTCTAATTTTATTATTTTATTTAAACAGTATTAAGAATTGAATTCAGAGGTTTGTGCTTGCAACACACAACACTTTTTGTTCCTACTTGTCTAATATATTTTACCCTTACTTTTATTGTATATTTAACCAATTACTATTATATAAGAATATGAAGTTGTTCTTTGCATTGGGAAAAGCGAATAGTAGGAACCTAGAGTAGTTGGCAAACATGGCCTGTAGGTAAAATGCTGTGGCTACCTAGTTTGTCATTTTATGGGACAGCAGCCATGCCCATTCTTCCACTCATTTATTGTCTGTGGCTAAAAATAACCCATCTAAATCATTTCAAGAAGGACTATAGGGCCTACAAATCCTAAAGTTTTTTCCATTTGGCTTTTGGAGAAAAAGAATGCTGACTCTTATTGTAGAGCTTTTCCAGAAGACACTAAGGAGCAATTCTAGAAGTGACCGATGCTTCCTCTATCATTTTTGTCAAAAGTTGAAAGCAATTTGTATTTCTAGGTTTTTAGTTGTTGTATGACATTGTTTTTGAGGGTAGAATATGAGAACTTCCCCTTGGCTAAAGCTGTTTGACTCTTTAGGAAAAAAAATTTAAAAAACATCTGAAGGCTACCTAGAGAGAGGGGGAGGTCAAAGGGAGGGAGAGCAGAAAAATGCAGGGCAAAGGCAGGTGAACATAGACATAGTAAGCAACGTTCATATTTGAAAACAGAAATCGGTAACTTGAAGGGATAAGTAGGGTTGGGAGAGAAGGGGAAACTGATTAAGAAGCAATGTACTCATAATGACATGTTGAATTAAAACCCCTACAAATATTTAGAGATAATATATTTAAAGAGAGAGAGAGTGACAGAGTGGGGAGGGGAGGGCACACTAGCTCTTTTCTCCCTGAATCTGACTAGAAGTTGTTTGGATCTGTAACTTACTGGAACTATTTTAGGGTATCTAAATAAGGAGAACTGGTAGTAACTGTATAAAAAACTTGAAAAGATAAATATAAAAACTTGGTGCTTTAAAACTTACCTCCCATATCCTTTGCAGAATGTAAGATGCAAAGGGAGGCATGCCTGGAGGACCACCAGCAAATTCCATTAGCATAGTTAACAATTTAAAGAAAGGATTGGCAGCCTGTAAGACAAGCATTCATTGGTTTTTTAGATCAAGCTGAATCAATGTCTTTCAGTAGAAAAGAACCACATCCTCTTGTACATATCACATTTAATCTACTATGAGGATGAGACAGCTGTCAGTAGTCATGCATACAAACTTTGATTACCATAAAACAGTAGGATTAGCTTGGTGGTACAAAGTTAACTTGTATAACTAGTGCATGCAAAAAAAAAAAAAAAGTCAACTGCAGGGCTGGGAAGGTGGCTCAGTGGTAGAGTGCTTGCCTTGCATGCATGAGACCCTGGGTTCGATTCCTCAGCATCACATAAGCAGAAAAAGCTGGAAGTGGTGTTGTGGCTCAAATGGTAATAGCGCTAGCCTTGAGCTGAAGAGCTGAGGGACAGTGCCCAGGCCCAGAGTTCAGGCCTCATGACTGACCAAAAAAAAAAAAAAAGTCAATTGCAGGAGAGCCACATCTAGTATATTTTGGGGGATGTCAAATATAGTTGGAAAAGCTTTTTGTTTTTCTTTTCCGAAACTTGAACTCAGGGCCCGGGCGCTTTCCCTGAGCCTCTTTGTGCTCATGGATTGTGCAATACCATTTGAGCCACAGCACCACTTCCAGCTTTTTTTTTTTTTGTTGGCCGTGGGGCTTGAACTCTGGGCCTGGGCACTGTCCCTCAGCTCTTCAGCTCAAGGCGAGCACTCTACCACCTGAGCTACAGCACCACTTCTGGTTTTCTGGTGGTTTATTGGAGATAGGAGTCTCACAGTCTCTCCTGCCCGGGCTGGCTTTGAACCGACATCCTCAGATCTCAGCCTCCTGAGTAGCTAGGATTACAGGCGTGAGCCACCAGCACCTGGCCACTTCCAGCTTTTTTGAGTAGTTTATTAGAGATAAGAGTCTCATGGGGATCTTTCGGCCCAGGCTGGCTTTGAACTGTGATCCTCAGACCTCAGCCTCCTGAGTTCCTAGGGTTACAGGTATGTGCCAGTGGTGCCCGGCTAAACTTTTATTTATTTATTTTTATTTTATTTTTTTTTTGGGTCTGGTCGTGGGGCCTGAACTCTGGGCCTGGGTGCTGTCCCTCAGCTCTTCAGCTCAAGGCTAGCGCTCTACCACTTGAGCCACAGCACCACTTC